TTCCCATCTCAACGTGGTCGTGGACAAGCGTGTCAACGACAGAACCTCCATCTATCTCTAGGAGCAAGCCACCGCCCACGGCTTCACTCCTTGAAATGTGTCTGTGTCGCAGCGAATATTCATTGAGCGCGCACATTGTGTGTGACCAGCTTACTGACACAACCGGCTAACTCTAGCACTAACACCTTCCCTCTCACGTTTCTTCCGGTGTCTGCTGTGTCTGTGTCGCTGCGAATATTCAATGAGCGCGCACATTGTGTGTGACCAGCGTACTGACACAACCCATGCGCTTGCCCGCTGCTTACCTTTTTTTTTGCTCGAGTACCCTCCCACGCACTGCGCGTGTGTGTCCAATCATGTGGCACGCGTAGTCCGTTTTCCATCATGCGAAAATAGCATGCTATCGTCCAGTTGTTTTCCAGTAGATGTGAGTGTATCGGGTACTCCACGCCATTGCATGGGCGGGAGTTTCTCCTACGTTCGAAGTACGTCCCGGGATTACCATGTATTTCTGCAAACACCCTCTGAATGTCTTCAGCAAGGGGGGATCTCCCGCGGCGTAATATCACTTCTCCGACACCGTGAAATTATGGCCTTCCGAGTGGGGGAGGTTATGATGAGTCTCGTTGGACAGGGAACAGCAGCTGAGCCTTGGTGGGAGAGGTCAGCAACAACAGCCACCGCCACCCGAAGCGAAGTACCCAAGAAGATGTCGCGTGTAAATAAGTAACCAGTTTGCTGTAGATATCAAGTATTTGCGTCTTGCTCCATCAAAACCACTTATTACTCGTGCCGAAAGCCGTAGAACCGTGACGACGTTAAACGTTTGTTGCGTGGTTTCGCATCGACCATATCAATAGAATGAGCCGAACAGGCAATCTTCGCCACTCCACCAGATTGTCGCCGAGTGCATTCATCTTTTGACTCTTTGGTGTGGGAGNATTATGGCCTTCCGAGTGGGGGAGGTTATGATGAGTCTCGTTGGACAGGGAACAGCAGCTGAGCCTTGGTGCGAGAGATCAGCAACAACAGCCACCGNCATTCATCTTTTGACTCTTTGGTGTGGGAGTGTAAAGCTATCCCCCGAACTGGTGTAGAATGGCGATCGGATGCCTAAATTTCGCGTGCCATCTGCCCTACCCGGAACTAGCTTCCCAGCGTACTCGCCACACCACGTATTAGCTTCCCAGCACACTCACCGCACCACCGCGTGTGCCGTCGTCCGCCCGTGAAACTCGGAGTATCTCCCTTCAGGTTTCACCTTCCGAAGGCCAATTCAGAAGGCTGAAGTTTCAGGGACAGGAGTTTTCGAGACCGTTACTGACAGGTGCGCGGCAACAACCAGAACTGGAGGACATGGCGTGGCGGGAGCTAGAACGTTTTCTTCACTGGAGGCCGTCTTCGTTGCACCCCAGGACTCATTTGTTGCGTTGATGTCATGGTGGGGGGAGGCAGTTTTCTGGTGTTGTTATTTGGATGGTGAAGTCTGGGTGTCTCCGGTGAATTCGGTGCTATCGGAGGATGAGGTTTCTCGAGGTTCAGTCGTGGTGATGGGGTTCACTTTTTGAGCCTAGACTATGTCTTTGGTCCTACTCGGTAGGCGGTACCGAGTCGATGTTTGATTGGTGCGTCCATTGTGTGTAAGCGTGCATGCGTGGACTTGGTAGGTCCTGTAGGACTTGGTCACAATCGCTGTCACGATTGTGATAATAACACTTCGAATATAGCCAGTGGCGGTATGTCGGTCTCTTTCACTGGCATGGAGTTCGCTCTCCATGCCAACGACTTCACGAGAGGGTTTTGTCAAAGTTTGTTCCTCAGAGAAAAAAGAGAGACGAGACGGCGGCGTGAAGTATCGGGGAGATAGTTCCCTTTCGAGGCATATCGGTTGATGGAGAACCTCGCAGTTCTACCATTCCTCTGGTTAAAAGTACCGGATGAGGCGTTAGTATATTATGAGTTGATAATATACTAGAGGGGATGTTACGGTTCGGGGTATTCGTTGTTGTTCCGCAAGTACACCCCCACAGAGGTAGTTGGCCGCATTCAGCGGAGCCTCTGCAAGAGCTGTCTGGACTCGCCCTCCTCTGCTCACAACCAAGCTACCATCCGGAGCTTACCCTTAAAGAATAAAACCATAACATCCGTAAGGAGGCCTTTGCTCCGACACTACACCTGCCACTACAGCGGGTACTAGTATCTTCACTACTCATCGCACTTGGTACAGTCGTTCTATCGCACAAAGAGAGGTCAGTGTGTGTGCTTCGCTGCGTTAGAGGGCTAGAATACCTCTCAGGAGCTGTAATTCCCTATCTCGCACCAGAAGCAGTGCTTCGATCGGGAGCTTTCTGATACTTGCTGATTCCACACATTGGAGCTCTACCGCTACGTGCTAACGACTCGTTACATCGGGCGTTGTCTCACCGTCTGAAGTTAATACACTACACAAACAAGTCCCGATAAGTACGCGGAGTACGGCCGACAAACACTCTCGAGCTTATTTGTCCCCCGAGGGATAGCCGCATCGGGTGATGTCTACGTCGGACAGCGGTTCCGTCGGAGGGCTGGGGGANGAGCTTATTTGTCCCCCGAGGGATAGCCGCATCGGGTGATGTCTACGTCGGACAGCGGTTCCGTC